GGGAGGCAAGGGAAAGAAAATATGAGTACTGCCAAATATGTTGGCTTGCACGGCTCTCGCCCTTTTGTGACACATTTCCTGTCTTCAGTTATAGGTATTTGTAAATTTGCACTGTATCTCTGCCCCGACTTCATTAGGTTGCAAGCTGCTTTGCTCCTCACAATGGTAATAGTAAAATAAGTTTTTTAAAAGGAGCAGTCTCAGTTATTGCCTATAAATTGCTTCAATTTGTTAAGAATTTTTTTTTCATCTCCCACAATTCAATTCTGGAGTTAGCCCAGGGCCTGACAGGCACGTGGATACATGAATCTGAAGCACAGGGAAGATGTCTGGACTGAGCAGAAGTCCAGGAGAACCACAACCTGAAGGTGGAAGTGAAACCCCACAGGGTATCACTCAGGAAGAATAAGAGGGAGAAACGGAAGTCTGGCTGGCCCTTGGAACTCAACGCTGAAGGAACAGGAGGCTGAGGTGGCCAGGCCGAGCCAGAGCAGGGAAGGTCAGAGAGGTAGAAGAGGAGAGGAGGAGAATGGGATTAAAAAAGCTAAGGGCCTGGGAAGATGAAGGTGATCAGGGACCTCAAGAATAACAGCTGACTCATCTTGTTGAGGAAGGATGGAGAGTTGCCCTCTGAGCTGGGCAAATGAAGGTCAGTAGTGACCCACAAGAGCACCTGATAACTGTGAAAGCAGTTTCAGTAAGTGGATAGAATAGAAGGCAGAGTGTGGCGGGCATGGAATTGAATGGAAGGCTATGAAAACAACCTCCCAAGGCAATGAATGTAGGCCAAAGAACAAGATTTTTAGTTTGACTGCTGTACTCAGCTCTGCTCCAGCTATCCAGTTGCTATATTGTCAGTTACATTTCTAAAAATCAAAATGAATCACCCGTTTCACGTTGTGATTAATATCTTCTGGTTTACCACTTGTTGGACGATGAAGAGTAAAGTTCAGTGCCAATCTGGTCAGTATAATTTGTTTCTCGAGCTTGGTTTCTTCATCATCTACATAGGAGAGCAGCACGGGTCCCATAATCCCTTATCCAAAATCCTGGCAGCCACATATGTTTCAGAATTCACAGCTTGGTAGATTCTAGAAAGGGAATATGGTACATAGTACACAATATCACCAGAAGCATCAGAGCTCCACCCTGCAATCAAACACCAGTGGGACAAATTTTCCACCAGAGGGATTACCAAGATACTTTTGTTTTTTCAGAACTTCACAGAGTTTCAGAATTGAGATAGTACCCCCTGGACCACCCTCACAGTTATGTTAAGTTTCAATGAGAGATTGCTGCAGACAGGATGGCTGATGAAGTTCTCTGCCATTAACGAAGACTTGGAGTCTAAATGAATTTGCGGTGGGGGGAGGCTGGGAAAAGAGCCATTGAGAGCAGCTCTGCCTTTCACTCTCCCAACCCGAGCTTTTATTACAGATATGAACAAAGGAACAAGAAAATAGCACGCAATTGTGTTTTTGCTTATACTATTAATTAGTTACTGCTGAAAACAAGTTTTCCTGGTTAGGAGGGAACATGCGCACAAACCAGTACATCCTCAGAGAACAGAAGTCACTTCTGGGAAGAAGTTCTGTTTGCAGAACTTCTAATGTCCTAGAACTCTGTATGCAGAGCAAACAGGTATTCTCCAAAAACTCCAGCTCCCTTTAGGGCAGCAGGCTCCCAACAAGAGATATGTGCGAAAATGAACCCAAAGGTTGCATCAGGCCACCGTCACCAAGAATGGCTGCATTGGGCCTGCTGTTGTTGACTAGAATGAAAGGAATTTTTCTTCCTAACATTGTGTGTATATAAACAATTTATAAAGGATACTCTCTGATAGTCTTTTGAACAATTCTTTTTTTAAAAAAGATTTATTTATTTATGCATATAAGAGCTGGGGTACAGGCCAGAGATGCGGGGGGTGAGAGGATTCACCAGAGACAGAGTGGGGAATAGAACAGGCAGACTGACTGAAACACACTGCTGAGGGAAGCAGCGGGTGAGAAAGGAGAGGTCTGCTGCACCATGTTGGTAGCTCCCTGGCCGGCAGGGGATCGAACTTGTGCTGCACAGGCTGAAGATTGCTTCACAGTGCTAGTGCGGTGCTTAACCCCTTGTGCCACCAGGGAGGTCCCTCTGATAGTCTTTTGAAAGCCACTTCTCCACAACTGGAGACGCTTTTTTTTTTTTTTAAGTAACATTGGTCTGTAACATATAGGTTTCAGTTGTCCATCATTATAAAGTAACATCTGTATATACTACATTCTATTCACCACTAAGAATAACCTGGTTTAAAGAATGCATCTGATGCAGCATTGAGTGACATCTAAATGGTCAATGGCAGTTCCCCTAACTTCCTCCTTTCTGGCTTTCTTTATCCTTAGGAGCTGGCACTGGGCTAAGCTTGGTAGTGCTGTAACTCATAGTGATGGGGATCCTGACAATATAATGGGGATCCTGACAATATAAATCACTTCTTCATTAATTGGGGATTTGAGGCCCCTGGAGCATAGCCTTCTTTTTCATCCTGTCCCCTGCTTATTCACAAGTGGCTTTAATATTTGTGTGGATAACTCATCCTCATCAGAAACTATTGCTCCTCTAAAATGTTAAACCTCATTATCCCTTCTGATCAGTACTTTGGTTCCTCTCTCCTATTATACAACCTCCAGTTTGCCTTGAAACCTAGTCCTTTAACCTATCTCTTTTGACTCAGTTAATTACCCACCTATCTAGTCTGGATCACATGCTTTATCATTTCAACCAATCTCTTGCCAATACCTTCAAGATTTTTGTCCCTATCCTTCTGCCTCATGTACCCTACAAATCCCTATTATTTACATTTTCCATTCCAAGACCCAGACCTCTGGGTGGGACTGGAGACAAACCCCAAAATATATAGATTGAGGCTACACCCAGAGCATGGTCTTCAATTTCAGTTAGGCCTTCAGCTCCGCTTGACATTCTGGTCTTAAATTTCTTGTTGAAATTGAAAATATTTGATATTTTCAAATATTTCCCCCAGAGCTCCAAGCTCACCCTTAACCTCCTATCTCAGAAAATGGCCGGGCTTCTTAATTGACAAAAAAATTTACCTTTTGCCCTTGTATCTACTCACTTATCCCCTTATCTTCCCCATCACTTCAGAGACAGTGATGACCTTTCTGTTTTTATGCATCTCTGCCTTTGGTCCTTGCCTTCATTGTTTCCCCTGAGACTCTGATTTCCTCTTTTTTTTTTTTTGTATTTTTCAGTCCCCCTATCTCTTTTGCTTCCTTCTCTGAAAGTTATAAACAGGCACAAAGTCTTTCCATCTTAAAAAATAACACCTTTTCTCTACTGGTACTTCGAGTCATCTTTTTCCTCCTCTTCATGGTTGAGCTCTTATGAAAATGAGTATAAAACAGTTGTCTTCACTTTTAAAGCTCTTCAAACTCTTCCAGTCAGTTCTTCCCAAACCCCAACCCCACTGAAGCTCCTCTGGCCAAGATCACCAATCATCTCCCAACGAGTGTAATCAATTAACTCATTTCAGGCATTTACACTTGCACCCTGTCCACCATCTGACACCACTGACTGCTCCCTCCTCAAAACCCTCTCCTCCCCTCACTTCTCACCAATTGCTAGTCTTCTTTTATCTCTCTGATAATTTCTTCTCTTACTCCTTTGTGGACTCTACTCCCTCTCTCTAGCCATTTATACAAGTGGCTATCGCCCACGGTTTGTCCTTAGTCTTCTTATGCTATGCCTTCTCCCTGGGAAGACTCAACAAACACCTATCTGCTGATGACCCTTCTTTCATACCACTTCTGTGTTTCTGACAGAGATACCCAGCTAAGTTACCAGACAATTCCACCTGGACGTCCCAAAGATACTTCAAACTCATCAAGTCCAGAACAGAACTCATTGTCTTCCCCAATCTCTCCAATCCTGTATCAGTTGATACCACCACTCCACTGAGGGTCATCCTATTCTTTCCTCTCTTTCATACCCCACACCATTCACCACATAACTCTCAAATACTATCCTGCTCTCATTCCTAAGCTAGCAGTTTAATTTAGAGCCATGACTTTATTGCTTCTTACAAAGTCTCCCTCTAGACTGGCACCACTTCAATTCAGTCTTGTATGCAGCAGGAGAGCCCTGTAAAATTCAAATTTACTTAAAGCCCTTCAATGGACAGAAATAACTACTCTACAGTGGCAGAAAGCATATCAGTGACTGGGGTTAGGGATAGGGGAACAGAATATAAAGCATGAGGGAGATAAGCAGATATTGTCAAACTTCATTAACCCCTATGTTTAAGACCAGTGTTGTTTTATTGTATATAAAATACTCCTCAATTAACTTGGTTAAAGAAAAATACCCTCCTATGTCACTCCATTGCCTGGAAAACGAAGTTCAAGTTTCTTATCCTGGCGTAAGTAATCATTTGGCTTCTTTCCTTGCTGATTCTCTCCTCTTCCCCATTACATACATTGAAGATCTAAAACGGCCTAGAAGTCCTGCCCTCCTTGCCCAGCTGGCAATCATTCACATTTCCGGAGGTTCAGCTTGCGCCATCACTATTACCATCTCTGCTGACCCGCAAGTGATCATTCCTCCCTTATGTTCCACTGTCCCGACACTAATGTCTATCACTTAGTTTTCGGTAGCACTCTTGTGTTTGTGTCGCCCCTATCCTCCACTAGGCTGTGGTGTGATGGCTGTATCCTGTAGTCTCCGTTCTTTATCTCCAGCCTTAGGGGAGATCGTTCCATTTTTGTTGAAGGACCTCGGCTTTACTGTTGCAGTCCAGCCTAGAGGGCCTTGGGACTGAACACGCCTACCACAGCTCCTCCCGTTCCTGCAGGGGGCGCTGTAGCAACCGCTGTCTCCCTGCTCTCGACTTCGCTGGATCGGCTCTGAGCTTCACGCTCCTGGCTCCGCCCCTAGCAACATCCCTCCTTTCTATTGGGCGAGGGATATCCGAGTCCTCCAATAGAGTAAGGCGTTGGTATGAGGTGGCGCCGCCATCTTCGGACGGCTGAGATCTCTGAATCGGTGGGTGGCCGCCTGAGGGAGGTCAGTAGGTGGGCCGGGTTGCTACCCCTTGGGTCCCGGCCTTGCCTCCTTTTTCCATTCTGCCCCGGGCCCACAATGCCGCAGTACCAGACCTGGGAGGAGTTCAGTCGCGCGGCCGAGAAACTCTACCTCGCCGACCCTATGAAGGTAAATTTCTGGCGGGACTGTTAGTCTCCAGGACGGAGTCAGGATGTCTTCCCTGCCATCCGCTCTGACCCCCGGGCTTCTCCAGCATCCCAAAAGGTGCTTCAAGAGGGTCAGAGACCAATGCTGCCAGGCCTGTTTGTTCTTATCGTGGCGTTGCCCTCATCCCTGATTAAGGGCCGGATGAGGCCTTGAAATGCAAAAATCAGGGTCGTTTCAGGGCCCTAATAGTTAACAGCCCCCCTTCTCCCGCCCCCAATCCCTGAACTTCCCTTTCGCCTTTGGTTAGTTTACGTGTCCCTAAGACCAGGGCTCCTCCCACTATGTCTTCCTGCTTTCCCTTAGTTGTCTGGGTGCCCTCTTCTCGTACTGCAGGGGCCAAGGGTCCCTTGTCCTAAAACAGATTTTCTGCCACCGCGGAGACGTTCTTGAAAGGCCCCGATTTGGGGGTGTCTACAGTCATTACAATAGTGGTTCCTAATTCTTTGGAGGCCAGTGCCCTTTTGAGAATACCGGAAAGCTTGCGCCCTTCCTTAGAAAAATGCACGTAAGCATAAATGTTTACACAAAATTTTAGGGGGCTCATGTACTCCTGAAATCCATTAGTGGCTCCCACAAAAACGTAAGTGGGTACCAAAGATTAGCTCATTATTTAACAAGCAAAGAATTCCAAGTGGTGGCAATTTAGCATTCAGATTTTGGTTTTTCTTCCCTTCCAATTTTGTTTTACCGTCATATATAAAAATTATTTGATTCAACACCTTGTTGATTAAATAACCTGCTTTAGAACTTTGGGTAAGTAGGGGCCTCCCTGGTGGCGCAAGGGGTTAAGACGCAACCTATGAAGCTATCTGCAGACACTGCAGCACAAGTTCCATCCCTGGCCAGGGAGCAACCCACGTGACGCAGCAGACTTCTGTCTCACCCGCAGCTCCAACTCAGCAGTGTATTTCAGTAGATCTGACTGTTCTGTTCCCCACTCTGTCTCTGAATCCTCTCACGCACATACACACACACACCCCCCCCCACACACACACACACTCCCCTCTGGCCTGTACCCCAGTTCTGAAGATGGTATCCCTGCTGGACCATATGTGACCTCTTAATTGATCCATTTGCCTTTTTAATCCTTCCTTTGCTTTCATGCCACAGCTGTCTACAAAGCACAGAAATTTAATTCTCAGAGTTACCTGCTTAAAACTGGCTTTTCATTGATGACCAGATCAAGTCCAGACTCCCAGCCCATAATCTGACCCTCCATTTGTTGCCCACCATTTCCACTATCTAGAGCTCTAGTAGCTAGAAGCTACAGAATTCATCAGACTTCATTTGTAATTCACATGACTGCGTCTTCAACCTTTCTCTTACCTTTCCTCAAAGGAAAAAAATGCATTTCCAAAGCTACCTCCAACAATCCCTTTCCCCTTCCATCAGTCTTAATTGCCTTTTTTCTCATTTAGTATTTTGTCTATAATGCCTTTGTAAGACTTCATTCATGCTGTCTTTTGTTTTATTTTGGATGGTTGAATTAAAATTTCCTAAGGGCCTCCGGGTGTCCTAGGGGTTAAGTCTTAGTGCTGCCACCACAAAGGCCCCTCAAGGGCCTGAGTTCAGTCCCCAACCAGGGAGCTAAACCACGGCGCAACAGACCCTCCTATTTCACCCTCTGCTCCCCTTAGTGTATCTCAGTAGATCTGCCTGTTCTGCTCCCCATTCTGTCTGTGGTGAATCCTTTCACCGCCCGCACCTCTGACCTGCATCCCAGTTCTACACAAAAATAAAATCTTTAAAAAAAAAAAGTTTCCTAAGAGAGCAAGAACTTTGACTTCTTTTTCTCTTTTTGTGGTATCTGACATAGTAAAATGTATGTCCCGTAAGTTACAAAATGAACCCTTTGATAGTGCCATAACTTTTTTTTTTTAAAGATTTATTTATTTTTATACAAGAGCTGGGGTACAGGCCAGAGGCGCGGGAGGATGAGAGGATTCACCAAAGACAGTGCAGGTAGCAGAACAGGCAGACGACCAAAATACACTGCTGAGGGGAGGGGAGCAGCGGGCACAACAGGAGAGGTCTGCTGTGCCATGTGGGAATCTCCCTGGCCAGCAGGGAATTGAACGGGCGCTGCAAAAGCTGCAGACAGCTTTAACAGTTAAAATTTACAAAGTTCTCATACTTAGTATAGTTTTAAATTTTACTTTCTTTTTGTTTCTGGAGAACTAGGTTTTTTTTTTTTTAAATACATAAATCTGAATTTAATAGCTCAAGAGATAGAATCAGGTGGTCTAAATATAATTAACTTAGTTGTTATTTATAACCACTTAGTGTTTGTCTAGTACCTTTATCTCTCTCACCAGGCAAATCGATAGGGCAGTATGACTTCTTTGCAATCAAAGAATAACAGGAAAAGCTGTACATTACAGTGCTAATAATCCTTTTTATTTAGTTTTCAGGATTTTCTTGAGGTTTCTGGTGCTATATTGTAACCACTACAAGATTCCCTTTTTGGGTTATAGATATTTAATACTTTTAAAACAGCTAGCTAAACAAGAGTTACGTATATTTATTGGCCAAAAACTGACTGGTGCAATATACTATTAAAAAAATGTTCATGGAAGTTGTAAACTTTATTGAGAGATGTTTTCACCTACCCGTGGAATATGGAACAGAACTTATTATATAGCATAGTACTATAAGATATAGGTGTTACTCTAGTTTTTGGAAAAGTTGTTGATGGAAACTTCCAAATACATCTTGTTGTGCCATTAGAGTAAAGACATGATTTTGCTGAATATTTTGCTTCCACTGCTTGAGAGTCATGGGAAAGTAGAAAGTACGAAGTTTGATGCAATTCTATTGTTATTTCCTGAGGATTTGATTTAGACTTATCAGCCCTCCCTGGTGGTGCAAGGGGTTAAGACGCAGCCTCTGATGCTAACCATAGCCACTCCAGCACAAGTTTGATCCCTGGCCAAGGAGATACCCACATGGCGCAGCAGACCTCTCCTGACTCACCCGCTCCTCCCTTCAGCAGTGTATTTCAGGAGATCTGCTTGTTCTGCTCCCCATTCTGTCTCTGGTGAATCTTCTCACACACCCCCACACACCTCTGGTCTATACCCCAATTCTTGTATGCATAAATAAATAACTTTATTTTTTTTTTTTTAAAAAAAGATTTAGACTTATCTAGCATTTTCTGCTGTTTTCCCTTTTCTTATCATTCCTTTGTGATTAAATATGCTGGAATTTTGGGGAAGGAAAAACTTTTCTCATTTATCCTCTTTGGTTTAATAACTGAGGTGCTGCAAATTAAACTGACAAAAACAGATCAGTAGGAGGGGGAAAAAAAATCTATTCTTATTACATAAGTGTGTTTGGGAATTCACAAAGAAATGTAACCCAGGAAGTAATTACAAGTTGGGACTTAACTACCATCTGATAAAGGGTGATAAGGTATCAAAGATGCTGAACAAAATTTAGGGTTTCTGGGGTGGCTTAAGTTCTCGGATGGATGATGACTAGGAAATGTATGGTAAATAAGAGTTGCTAAGTAAGGTTTGTTAAGGAAAGGAGTACCTCTCTTCCTGCTAAGGGAGAGGGAAAGACTTCTACAGTTGGAAATTTGTCTCCTTACAGAGGTTCACTATGTCCTGTTGTTAGCCTTGAAAGGACAGAGAGCTCGTTGCCTTCTGCTCAGAACAATCTGTACAAAAGTGTTATGTTTTGGGGTGGTATACTGTGATCCCCTTCAGTGTTTGTTTCTGGGAAAACATGCCAAACCACCTCAAGAGTCTCACAGACATTCTCTGACTTTAGATGTATTTTAGGAATTTAGGTCTGTCTCTTCCATACTAACTGCAAGTAAAATATACAACCTTTAAAGAAAATTCTTTTTAAAAAGCAATTATAGCAACAGAAATGAACTAAAATGCTGTTTTCTACCTCATTTCAATAATGATAAGTTTATAGTAAAGGTTCTTTTAGATCTTTTGGCTATTAATTCTAAAGGATCCCTTTTAGCCTACCTGAAGAATAAATTATTTATAAGAAATGTCTTCTGACCTCACTATTTCTTAATGTGTATTTTTATTTCAGGCACGTGTGGTTCTCAAATATAGGCATTCTGATGGGAGTTTGTGTATTAAAGTAACAGATGATTTAGTTGTAAGTATACATTTTTATTTGTTGCATACTTTCAGATTTGTTTTGAGTTAATCGTTTGTTTGAAATTAACTACATAGAATTTAGCAGGTTGCCCATTAGGATGCTTATTTTGCATTTCATTCCAAAGTAAAGAACCTCCTTCTAGAAGCTGCTTTTATAGGCTCTCAGGGAAATAACTTGCTTAATTAATTCAGTATGTCACATGTAGTTTGGTAATTGTTCTCTTCATACCTTAAGCAAGAGAAATATAGAGACAAAAACTACATATAAGAAGGTTAGAGGTTTCCTTAGACCAAATGATTGTATTTGAACACAAGTTTTAGGCTTTATCTTCTCATGTATCATTCATTCCTTAACCCTCTGATATCTCCTTTCTACATGCAGTGTTCCACTGAAACGATTCCTGGTGAGAACTCATCAGTCCCTTAGTTTTCAAACCCAGTTGTCTCATTCAATTTGTACCTTAGTTGATCTGACCATTTTTGATTCAGAAAACAATGATGGAGATTGTTGTTTTGGCATCTGTGGCTCTTTGTTATCAGATTTTATAATTCTGAACTTTCGTTTAATTCTTTTTTTTTTTTAAAGATTATTTCTATTTAGTTATATAAGCACTGGGTATAGTCAGAAGCGCGGGAGGGTGAGAGAATTCACCAGAGCCAGAGCGGGGAGCAGAGCAGGCAGAAGGACCGAAGCACACTGCTGAGGGGAGCAGCGGGCGGCAGGAGAGGTCTGCACGCCATGTGGGACCCTCCTCCGGTGGCCGGGGATCAAACCGGCGCTGCAGAGGCTGCGGGCAGCTTCACAACCCAGCGCTCAACCGCTGCGCCACCGGGGAGGCCCTGTTTAATTCTTTTTTGATGTGTCCCCATAAGTGTTGGTTACTACAGGATTCTTTCCTTTGTCCTTTCATGCCATTTCTGGAGTAATCCGTTCAGTCATTAATTTTACTACTGCCTATATCTGTGTTACTCTTAAGTTTAGGGTTCTCGTTATTACTTGCCTGGACTGTTAGAATAATCACCTGCCATCTTGCTTCCAGTTTATCCTTTAGTAGTCCTCTGTTGTGGTTTCTAAACATGTAAATTTGACTGTTAGTATCATGATTTTTAAAAAACCTAAGTGACTCCTCATCCTTCATAATGTAAACACCCTCACATCTCCTCTAAATCTTTTCTGTATACTTACACACTGCTTTAATATGCAATGCTGGGGCCTCCTGAGTGGCTCAGCAGTTGAGCGCTGGGTTGCGAAGCTGCCCGCAGCCTCTACAGCACTGGTTCGATCCCCAGCGACCGGGCAAGGGTCCCACATGGCGGGCAGACCTTTCTTGCCGCCCGCTGCTCCCCTCAGCAGTATACTTCATCAGTCTGCCTGTTCTCTTCTCCGCTCTGGCTCTGGTGAATTCTCTCACCCTCCTGCGCTTCTGACTATACCCAGTGCTTGTATAAATAAATAAATAAATCTTTAAAAAAATTTAAAAAAATGCAATGCTGTCTTAGGTGTGGACTTCTAGTGAGTCCGAACCTGGGACGCGACGGTGAAGGAAATCAGACATGGGGACTGTCATGTCCAGCGTGCAGTAAATCTTTATTATCTTAGTGCTCATTATATACTATTTTAATTGTAGCAGGTGTTACATCAAAGCATACCACATAATGATAACATGTATGAATGATTAGTCTATTTTCTTACTATTATCTATTTACTTCAGACAGTAGGGTACCGGGCGGTTAGTTCTCACACACATAATCTTATCGCCTCCTAGCCAGAGCCTGGGAAGTTCGCTCATTATTTTGTTGTTGTCAAACTGTGGAGATGTACGCAGTTCACTTCCAGGCTCTCAACACCAAGTCCTATCACCCAGAGGTTTTCCTCCCAGACACATGTGTTTTCACATGCCTTAGGGACTCAGGTCAAGGCCCTTCTGCTTACTGCGCCGGATCTCTCCATTTTGTTATTCTCAGACTGTGGAGATGTAGAAGCCCGACTCCACGCAGGTCACTTTCCAGGCTCTCAACACCAAGTCCTATCACCCAGAGGTTTTCCTCCGAGACGCATGTGTTTTCACATGCCTTAGAGACTCAGGTCAAGGCCCTTTTGCTCACTACGCAGGGTGGCCGCCTCCAACACTTAGGCTTCTGTGGCTTTAAGCGTTTTTCTTTCTTTGCAATATTGAATTCAATTTCTGTCCCTAGTGTGGTAAGACTGCTTCTAAATCCAGTTCAAAAGGGTTATTACTTCATCTCTTGTTTTTCCTTTTGACTTTTTGTGCTGTAAATCACAATTGTTATATCTCATTTGTCTTTTTAGTGAACTTTGAGACAATCAAGATAGATGAATTATGTTCTTGCCTGTATTTCCAGTGGCTAGCATAGTATCTGGACTCAGGGGGAGCTTTTTAATAAACATGTTTTTAACAGATTCTTTTAAAAATTTTATAGTGACTTTAAAAATCACTTCTTCCCGATTGACATAGACTGTATTTGTGTTCAAGTTTCCATTGTGAGGTTGCATGATGTCAGATCTTTTGATTAATTACCATGTCTCCCAAGAACTTATTAAATTTGGTACAGTAACTGAAAATGTGGAGAAAGAGGAGTAAATTGAAGTGTAGGGTGCTAGACCTAGATTCAAGAGATTCAGCCATTTATCAGTGTTTCTTCCTTAGAAGAGCTCAGGTCAAAAATGCGGCTTTCTGCACCTTAATCTCCTCATCTGTGGAGTGTGCTCACCTAAACAGATGACTGTGGGAAATAAACAAAATATTCGAAGTACCTAGTCTGTAGGGCTTGCCACTTAGTAGATTCAATAAACACATACTCGAATTTGAGCATTCTTGTTGAGAAGAGTTGTGATTGTGATTGTCACAGAGTAAATAGGTATGTCTGCTGAAAAGAAATTATGTACTGTTTTAACAATAGGAAAAAATGCCAAATTGATTTTAATACAAAAGGCTTTTTTTATTTCCAAATGATGGCTTTTTTCCTCTGGTAAAGTAAGCATGGTTAAGGATCCATTGTAGGCAATATTGGCAAGACATTTATTTAACGTTGATGATTCCTGTGACAAGATCTAAATCTGAAAGATATTTTTTATTCCCTTTCTTAAGACTACTGGGAATTAATCTGTATCTAAGATGTTAGTGTTTTACCGAAATGCTTTAGTGTATAGCACTGTATAGGCCTCAGGTATTAATTCATCTTAATATCTAGTGATTCCTTCAGAAAATGCAGTGTTAGATTTCATTTATTATCACCATTTAGCTTTGACTTTTTATAATTCCATATATGCCTCATTTTTTACAATCTTCTGACTGATTTATAATATTTTCTTCTTTAGACCTAAAATCTTTTTTGTCAAACTGTAGTGAAATGATATGTGTCTGTGGGGTGGGTGTGTGTGTGTGTGTGTGTGTATACATATATATATGTTCTCTCACAGCACATATGCTAAAACTGAAATGGAAATTAGTACAACCTCTTTACAGTATTGCTACATAAATTTGTGCAATGTTAGATGAGAAAAAGCTTAAGTAAATGATTTAAAGACTGATCACTTGATCGCTTCTCGGCCTTTTGGCAAAGATCAAGTGAAGACTGATCACTTGGACATGGTAAGGTTGAATTCCAGTTTACTTAAGTTGGTGAATATTATTACAGGGTCATTAGTTCCTATAGTTAAAAACTCACATAAACCTGTGTACTGAAAAATTTAGCTAATAGCATGAAAGAGTTTGGTTTGGTTTAAAATTTCAAATACCTTCCTAGAATCAAAGTTAGGCAGATTTATTAGTTTATCTTATCTAGGTTTATCTTAGGAATCCTAAGATCTCCAGACTTTTTCCAGTATAGCTCAAGTTGTTCATAACCAGATCACAGGGAGAAAATACCTGATTCCAAGCCTTGAATTCTCATTACACCATGTAACAAGATTTAACATACTACTTAGCTGGTCATTTTTGAGAAACTTCTGGTAGAGTTCATTAATTTTTTTATCCACAGAATTGGTATTTAAGTACTTAATATAGTTGAAGACTTGGTGTAATTTCTTTAGTATGACTTCCAAAGAGAATGAAGCAAAACAATGATAGGGAAGACTCAGATTTTTAACCAATCATATATTGGCTACATTGTTGATAACCTAGTTTTACATAGTTAATGTGTACTTTCAAACTTTCTGACAGTGTTACGTGTACAGAACAGACCAAGCTCAAGATGTAAAGAAGATTGAGAAATTCCACAGTCAACTAATGCGACTTATGGTAGCCAAGGAATCCCGCAGTGTTGCCATGGAAACGGATTGAATGGTTTGAAATGAAGACAGTCATGTTCTTAGAAGTTATTATCTTTCAAATTTAAAAAAGTGTTGGGACAGAAAATATTTAACAAAAATGTAGAGGTCTTTTTTTTTAGATACCTTGGTTTTTTTTTTTTTTTTTTTTTTTTTTTAATGTTTACTTTAGAGAGCGAGGAATGAAAATGCTTTCAGTTAGAAAGCCTTTATTTTTGGAAATAGAACAAGAAATTCATCTATCTTGGAAACTTTTTAGAGTATTTGAAGTTGGGCAAAATATGATTATTTCTTTAGTAAATTTGTATTGATAATTTGAAAATGAGATGTCAAGGAAAACCAACAGTTCTTCCTTAAATTTAATTAATCTGTCTTTAAAGAAAATTAAATGTAACTATTTTGCTGTACTGATGCTATATTTTTGGTGGGGGGAGGGGGGTTTGGAGCATAAAATTAGTGCTGATAATAGCCCACAAATATAAAATGTGGTAACTGGAGTTATCTGCACAGCAATATATGTGTAGTAGTATAGTTGCAATTATATCTGAAAATAATTATGAAAACAAATAAGCTTTACCTTAAACTTTCCAAATTTCAACTATCATTTTTTAATATAAGAGAGACATCGTGTTACTAGCTTGTTGAGCAAAGACTGACTTTGAATCTAATTTTCAGTACTCAAAAACAACTGCAGTATGACCAAAATGATCACTAAGCAACTGAAACTACCATGTTACAGAAATACTTGCCATATGTTTCCTGTCTATAGTTTCTCAGAGGGCTAAGGATTATTTGAACTGTTAAATCTTTGCATATCTCTGCCACCCCTGTCCGTTTCTCTTTTTTCTTGACCAAGGTGTTAAGCGTGATTGTCATTGCTGTTATGTTTTCCATTAAACCGAAGTGTAATATTATTTGATATTTATCTCTTATTTGTAACCTGAATTTTGCCACCTAAATGTAATGTTCACATGTTGATTCCTATATTAAAATATTTTTTCTTAGAAATTTGTTGTGTTGAGCAACATTTTAACATGGAAAGTTGCATTAGACATGAATTTTGGCATGTTTCTGAGGGGGGTCCATTAATAAACTATGTGAATATGTATTGTTTCACTTGAAGTTTCTAACTTCTCAAGAATGATAATTTTTTGACTGGGATATACTGTATTCATTTCCTCTAAAGTGAGCCTACTGATGATATGTAAGTAAATTTTGTTGTTTTATTTCTTAGTTCTTTTTATTACATGTCTTTCTCTGAATTGTATAATGATAGCAAGGTTTTAGATAAGATATTTCTATAAGCCTCTATATTTTTCCTCTAGAAATTGGTCTAACAAAAGTACTTAGAGGATTCAGTGGATTAAATGGAATAATCTATTTTAAGCTCTTAGTACAATGCCTGCAACATAGTATAAAGCTGAGTAAATGATAATTATTACTATTCTTATTACGATTTTTATTTTTTCAGGAAAAAGGGTATAAGTAACCCTGATCTTAAGTTTTGTCATAATTTTAACACAGATTATAGCTATGTGCTGAACTATGCTTATTATCAAATGCCATTTCTGTATTGCCTTTTCCACCTTTACCTTTCACTTCCCCAGCCAGCCCTGCTCCCATCCCTGGTAACATTTTCCGAATAAGCTACTTATATGCAAGCCTTTGTCTAGAGCTTTGCTTTCAAGGGAAGCTAGGTTTAAAAAAACAAGAAAAAAAAGAGCTCCTTATAAATTAAGAATATGATTGCTGAAATGAAAGAGTAGAAGTGTGAAAAAAAAATGCAGAAATCTAGCCACAAATACCAGAAGGGGAGGGAGGGGAGCAAAGGGGGAAGGAGGCCCAATGGACTGGTGGAGGACATACATCTGAAGAGATGTGAACCTACACCTCTGAATCATACGGTGTAGTAAACCATTAGAGCAACAACAACAAAAAAAATACAATAAAAAGAAAATAAAAAAATAAAAAGAAAAGAAAATAGAGCCAGAAAAAGAAAGGATAGGAAAAGCCATTTCAGATCTGTATAATAGGAATTCACAAAAAAGTGAATGGAGCAGACAGAATCATAAGTAAGATTAAGAATTGTTTGCACAAAAGGTGAAAGTAGACCAAATACCAAGACCAATGGCACCAGAATTTTAGAACAGTAAGGATAAAGAGAAGATCCCAAAGATTCCAGAGGGAATAAAGAGGATAGATCAGGCACCCAAATGGTTTTTGACTTCTCACTGCCATTACTAGAAACTAGAAGATCATGGAGCAATGCCTTCAGAATTCTGAAAGGAAATTATTTCCATCTTGGAACTTTGTATACAAACAGTTAATGGAAACATTGAATAAAGACATTTTCCAGGCAACTTTAGATTAAGTTGTATTGAGATAACAAATCCCCAATCTCATGTCCTTGAAAAAAGCTCTTTTTGGCTCAAAGTACAGGTAGCTGTGACTTCACAGGTCTGCTCCTACTTCCAATGTCTTCATTCCCAGGTCCAGATGAAGAGCAGAACCTCACAACAGTTTCTAAAACTTCTGCTCAGATATTACATCATGCTCTAGTGGTCAAGCAAGTGACATGCCTGAGCTGACGTCTGTGACGTGGGGAATTCTGTTCACAGAGAAGCTCTAGAAGTCTTGTAGCAAAGGACAGGAATATGTTAGCAGCGTATCCCTAGGAACAGTCATTACACAATGTCTCAACAGTTTACCTCCCATTTACCCTTTTTTAAGAAATCACTCAAAAGATGTGTTCCTCTACAATAATCAAACTAAGGAAGATGAACCTCGCACAGGACAGAGCAGGAGAGTTTCCTCGGGCTGGTGGTGGTGGGGGAACTTGGATGACAGCTGAACACCAGGAATGGAGCAACCAGACCAGACTGGAGGCAGGTCAGAAGCCTCCAGAGGCGCCTCTTTAAGAAAATGAATTTGAATCACTGTCTGATGTGAATGAATCTACTATGAAGGAATTTAGGTAATTGATACGTTGTTGAAGTAGTGATTGGTACATAGAAAAATAAATTTTTTAAGTATCAATTCTAGGGGGAAAATGTGTGCAGGAAAAGAAAGTAACCATAGCTTATTATAAATCAGCCCTGAATTGCCATCCTAATAATGAAAACACTGAATATTGATATAACTAAAGTTATTTTGGGAATATGGAAGAAGATGGGTAGCTCCTGTGGTGAGATCTGTTGAAGAAAGAGCTAATTTCCCTATCTGTCAAGATCTTCAACACAGAGTTCCTGAGAGGTTTGAAGAAGCTTATAAATAAATACGAATATAAAAAGAATCAGCTAAAAGGGTTAAATATAGTTTTTGCTCTTTTAAGAAGATCAGTGAGGGAGGGAGGATGGGAGAGGGCTGAAACCACTGTTGTCTTAAACATCTTGTAGAACTAGTTGACTCTTCAATGGATTGGTTAAAATACATAATTTTAAACTTGTAAAACAGTAACAGTGATCCTTGGACTCAAATAATGCATAGTCACAATGCAGTGTCCAGTGCAGGCCCATAGAGGGCTCAAGAGGGCCCTTGCTGCTTTGGAACTTTGTGTTTACACACTCAGTTCTTTAGGTAACTTCTGCTCACCTTTGATCTTCATAAGATGATTTTGTTGACCATTGCCCTTGAAGCCCTGGGAATATAGTATATTCAAAGATTACGCTGGGGTAAGTGCGTTAGGGAGTTAGTATGAAGTCATTTAAAAGAATTTTTCAAATAGCGAATGGTTTCACTTATAACAGGAGTATAGGGGAACCAAATAGGACATCAATGTAAAAAATAACAGTACAAAGCACAACAAAGCAAAAACAGACATAAACCAGAGACAACCTGCAGGGGAGGAGGAGGGAGAGGGATCAGAGGGAGGGAGGGAGGAACACGGGACTGTGGTGATGGTGCATGGGTGCCTTGGGGAAGGAAATTCTGTGAGGACTCAATCTGAGGGGTGGGGGGAAGCAAATATTGTTTAAATATAAAAAAATAAAAAAAATAAAAACACTAACAACTAAAAAAATAAATGAAAGAATTTTCCAGGGTTGGTGGGTAATGTCTTCCTCCTTTTTGTGAACATAGGAAAAATTCTTAAAAATCCAAAATTTTTCACTTTTCCTTCTAATTTGCATCCTTTTATAAAATATGAATGTTATATCTTTTTATAAAACCTTAAATGATTTACTATTGGCAGTGACTGGGTACATAAGGTACATAATATTAGTAATGTTAATAACCAGTACAAAAATATTTTGCCAATCTTGATATCTTCCGTATAAATTATCTTCTCCATAGGCAAGTTTCTAAAAAACTGGTAATTGTGTCTTATTTATTGGTTGGTTTGTTGGTAGCACTGTATGCTAACAGATGATTGCTTAATAGACTCCATTATAAAAATTATGTGACACAAATACAACATAATTCTGTATCATTGGTATTTTTACAAATATTCTCGAGACCATTTTGTTAAAGAGCTATTTGGGGTCCCCCCTGGTGGCACAAGGGGTTAAGTCTCAGCACTATGAAGCTATCCACAGCCACTGCAGCATAAATTCAATCCCCAGCCAGGCCAGGGAGTGACCCACATGGCACAGCAAACCTCTTCTGTCTCCCGGATGCTCCCCTCAGCAGTGCATTTCATTCAATCCACCTGTTCTGTTCCCCTCTCTGCCTCTGGTAAATCCTCTCATCCCCCACACCTCTGGCTTGTACCCCAGTTCTTGTATGCATAAGTAAATCTTAAAAAAAAAAAGAGAAAAAAAGCTATTTGGTACTCCTACCCCTACTCCATTAATGTTCTAGTGGATTTGTGACCTGTAAACCCTTATGAGAATCTATAATAAAATTCAAAGTCTGGTGCAATAAATGATCTTTCAGTTGGCATCTGGTAAAAGAATTTTTTGGTAAGCACTGAGAGAGCAGAGAGTGGAGGAGCACCATGGTGACTAAGAGTAAAGGAAAAATTTGAGGTGGGTAGCAAAAGAAAATAGCAGTTTATTAGAACTGCTCTGAGCCTGAAATTTGGAAAAGTGCAAAGATATGCTTTAGAATCAAAAGGGAAAAACAATCTGGAGTGTCGAATGACCTCAGGAAATAGTATTTTAATATTTTTATTTTTAATCCATGTACTTGATTTTAAATCAAATAACCAAGCCTAGAATAAAATGTAACAATTCCCTGGCCCTCATTTTCCCCATTCTACTTTTAAGTCTTCTGACGTATCTTTATATCTAAATAATATGCTTCTAACACATTATTTGTCAATTTTAGGCATTGTCTCTTGATTTCCTCTTGCAGTAGATAAAGACTAAAATATCTTATGCCACTTCCACTGCACCCTGTCAATATAGTAACATTTATTTTTTGGTTTAATCCATAGTGCTTACATAATTACAACTGCAAATATCATTCATTACAGAACCGAGTAGTGTACCAGGATTACATTTTATTTCTTGAACTACTTTCTGTTTTTCCTGTAGTCATTTTTTCCTTTGCTTATTTTTATGTTCCTTTCCTTGGCTTTTTTCCAGACCTGATAAATGTCCACTTTCCCAAAACTTAACACTTCACAGTTAATGTATTCCATTTTTCCCTGCTGACCTGCCTTCCCATGCCATCTGTCTTCCTTTTCTACTCTAGAGAGGTTAATTTCTGTCAGTTGTCAACCTGAGACTCCTTTTGCTCTTCCTCTGTATTAGATCCCACTTCCCAAATACCATGTTTTCCCCTTTCATATTTTACTCCTTTTTCTTTTTCTTTTTTTTTTTTTTTGCTGGACTATACCCTTTAGTAATATCCCAAGAAAGGAGACATGAGAAGTAAAAGTATTTTAAGTCCTTGCGTGTGTGAAAAAGTTTTTAATTTCCCCTTATACCGCTAATAGAATTCTTTTGAAAATAAATTTTCCCACAACTTTTGAAGGCCTTGCTTGACTATTTTATGGCATCCAGTGTTACTGCTAAGAAATCTGATGATTCTAATTATTGAATATTTGTATTGATCTGTTTTTGTTTCTTGGGATTTGTCCCCCTTCCCCCCAGAAGTTTTTAAAAATCATTTGTTTTTCTTTAGTATCCTGGACTTTTCAGTGACTTGCATTGGTGAGTTTTTCTGGCTTTTTTTATTGTG